GCTGTCACTCGGCGCCACCCCCGCAGCCGCGACGCGATTCCCCCCCCCTCCCCCCTCCGCTGCCCCTCGCCCTCTCTCCTCCCGTCCCCTCCCGACCCGTCTGCTGACCGGCGCCCCATCCCTGCCCGATCCCATCCCGGTCGAGTCAAGAGCCGCAAAACAAATGACCGCATGGCATGTGAGAGAGAAGTCGGCTGGGCTCACAATCAGACTATACCGCCGGAGGGAGGCGGCTGGCCTCTCCCTCAGCCTGCGTCCACTTCGTTGTCGTCCACGTCGCCCTGCTCGTCGTCGCGTCACTCCTTGTCATCCTCCCCCGCGTTCTCGTCCTCGTCCTTGTCCTCGTCGTCCTCCTGGTCCTCAATCACCTCGTTCGCATCGTCCTCCTGGTCCTCAATCATCTCGTTCGCGTCGTCCTCCTGGTCCTCGTTCTCGTCGTCGTCGTCGTCATCGTCGCCGCCGCCTCTGTTCTTTTCCTCATTCTCGTCGTCATCCTCCTCGTCTTTCTCCTCACCCTCGTCCTCGTTTTCCGCTTCCTCCTCTCTGTGCCTCTGCCTCTCTCCCGCGTGCCGCCTTCCCGCGGGAGGACCCGCTTATTAGGAAAAGGTTACTCGCGCGCCTCCGTTTGACATTCTGGCTGTCAAGTTGTGCTTTTCACGACCTGCCATGACGGACAGAGGGCTGCCTGTCGGTAAAGGGAGGGCGACCTTTTCAACAGAAACACGAAGATTTGGCAATTATTAGAAACTGGGGGCAAGTTACGAGACTAATTTATCCCTCTTCGTTTCATTTTAGATAATTACTGCAATTATTGAAGCGTTTCTTATTTTCTCAAATCAAATTGTTAGATAATGTACTGATACAATTTCTTAAAGAAACCGTTAACTCTTAGCGGCTGGCCTGGTTGACGTGTCACAGTACGCTCAACCCTTTTGGTTGACGGCTGCAGCGCTGGCTGAGGTGACGGGCGGCACTGTCAGCGCCGTGGGGGTAATGCTATTACAGAGGCGTCATGACTATTCAGAGCCCGCCACGCAGCGCCGCGCCAGCCGCCCACCGAGCCCACCGACGCAGTAAATCAACACTTCTTGATCACTATCTCTTTGTTTTCCCCCCTTTTTTCAGGGGAGCTGATGCGCTATCATTCGATGGTATATATGTTGACCAGGTACATCGGCTTGAACCGCGTTCCTAATGGTTTTCGACGTGGTTCAAAAGTAATACTTCAAATCCCACGTGTACATAAGATACGACACAGACTGACGTGGTCGTCAGTGGCTCAAATAACTCGTAGACGTTTCGTCCTATCACTCCCTGATTGCCGACGCTCGATCGGGCGGCTGCCTCCAGTACATCCGCGTAGCTGGCCACGGTGGGGCGGGGCTGGGTGGGGTGTGGTGGGGCGCGGTGTGGCGGGGCACGTAGCAATTAGGTAACGCTATTAAGCCAACTGGCAGCGAAAGAGAGATGAAGAGGAAGCGAGAGGGGGAGGGGCGCACGGGAGAGAGGGAGAGGGGGGGAAAAAAGAGGGCGCACGGGCAGGGGGTGATCATGGCTGGGCGGCAACAGTTTTATTTTTCCGGTGTACTATAGTACGGCAGGGGTCGCAGGATTAAGCAGACGCACATCGTTCATCCAGTCGTTAGAAACGCGCGGGCTATATAACATTCTGACTCGTCGAGATTCATCGCCAAAAACTAAGTTATTTGTTAGGAGACGGTACTACTACCTACCAAAGGGGGAAAATGACACACTGAAAACCAGTGCTTGTTAATCTGTAATATCAAAGCTGACTCTTCCATTGCCAATTCATCGATTACTTTATCATGATTGTACCACTCCTATTCGCATATTGCTGCTACTCTATCGTCTATCTGCATTGGCTGCGTTCTTGATGACACGCTGCTTCTGCATTGCCATTGCCTTAGTAAGACCACACGTTCAGTGGGAAATAAAAAAAGATGTGGGATCACTTACGTGGCTTACCTGGTCCTTCTCTATGAAGCCAATAAAGGCCGTTCGTTCTATTTCTACGGGCTGCCCACTTCGGTCGTACAGGGCGATAACGAAGTGGAAGAAATTGGACTTGCGGAGGTTGCTCGGAGGCTGCTTCTCGAAGTGCGCTCTGCTCAGGCCAAGGCTGCAACAGAGCAAAAAGAGTACTGGTAAGGAACACTATTGTTTTAAGGCATTTTTAGAGGGTTGTAACCCATTCTGCAGGAGACACTAGGGCACTTTCTCTGACCCAATTTTAAAACATGAAAATAAAAATGTTCATGCTATAATAACTCTCGAATTTACGTGTTTTTTTTTTTGTTTTTTTTTAAATTGGGCCCTGTTGCGACTGATATCGACAAATCGACACACATTCAGCGGAACACTTTCAATCTGCCGAGTAGAAGGGAGAATAAAACGGACAGGCTGGAAGGGGAGCAGTGAAAATAAAAGGGGGAAAAGGGGGAAAACTGCGGGAGCATTGAGCGAGCAGCAAGGTGTGCTCCCACACGTATATGGCCCCCTGGAACACCC